GCTCTTCCATCGCTTCTTCTACTCCAAGTCCTTCGTCAAGCACAGCTTCGAGGTGAGCGCTGGCGGGGAAAGCGGTGGGAGGGGGAGGGGGGAGAAGGGGGTAGGAGAGATTCGCCCGACCCTGTGCTGGGTGGATTCGGGAGGCCGCGGTTTTCTTTGCTTGTGGGGGTGATTCTGTCGCGTGGTTGTAGCCTTACGTGGATCAGGAGTTGTTTTCTTAACGGAAACGGGGACTTCCTTTCAGATTGTGGCTATGGCCTGCATCAATCTCGCATCCAAGATCGAAGAGGCACCTCGTCGGATTAGGGATGTGATCAACGTGTTTCATCATTTGCGCCAGTTAAGAGCAAAAAGGTAAGATCAGCTTCGTTACGAGCATAAGCATTTGTTGCCACTAATGTACACTGCAGTTTTGAATTCACAGTGTTTTTACAGGCTAAGTTCAACGACCTAAAATTGAGAAGGGAGGAGTGCTCGTTGGCTGCTGTGTAGGCAGTACAGTTGAATGCTACCTTCTACCGGTCCTTTTGTTTACTTGGTAGACCCGTTCTCGTGATTTATGTAGCTGCAAGTCTCGAGTACCAGTGCTAGTTTTAGGTCCGTGGTTGTAGTTTTAGGTCTATTGCGAATTGATTTCTGATGTCTTATACTTCTTGAAAGGGAGTTTTAGGTATGAGTAGCCGATTAATGGGTTGCTGTGTGTTCTCTGGACTTGCAGGCTCGTTCAGCAGTTTTAATGCTTTTCTCTTGTTAGTACCTAGCCATCCAGATGTAGTTAAGGTGCCAGTTAAAGCATCGGATGAAAGCTGAACTTTTCCCAGTGATGATAGTATTACCTTTTAGAAAAATCACTCTTAGTATCTGGAAAAAGGCGTGGTTTAGAGTACAGTGTTTGCAGCTTTAAGGACACCCCTTCAACATGGAATATGTAACTGAGTCTTGGAAACTGAAAGCATCTTTAATTGCCAAAAGTGAGACCTGTTTTTCATGGTACTGTGTGCTTGTGTCAGTAAAAGTTGGAGTGTAAGCTTACCCGATCTGTGTGCAGATCTGGGTAATTGTCTGCTGAGCTGTAGAGCTGCTCTCAGTTGTGAGTGCCTTTTCTGTGTGTAAAATGGTATATGTTCTCATGTGTAAAGCAAGTTAACCAGGCATCTGGGAATGAACAGTTGAAGTTTACTGAGCTGCTATTAAATGTAAAATTTCTTTAAAGCTGTCACACAGCAGCCCTGTAGTCTGTGAGACTGGCTGGTTGCTTGAAGGTAATCCACAGTTAGGATTTTGTTTTCAGCTAGGTTCTTAAATTCATGTTTTTATCTCTCTGCTCTGCGTCACCAGGTTACAGCAGGACTTAAAACTTCAGTGTGGTGACACCTTGTCTGAGAGGTAGAGTAGAAGTCCCTCAGGGAAACCAGCTGTTTCTTGGTGTCTTTATCCTGGTTACGCTTCCGTTGCATCTAAAACTTCTGCTTTTTTTGCCTTGTGCTCGTGTTGTCCTAGGTAGATTTAGGTAAAAGAAGAATGATTCAACGTTAAACTCTGGAACTTAGCTTTGTTCTTCTTTTGTTTTGGTTTGTTGTGTTATTTTTTTTTAAGTTTACCCCTGATGGCCCTGAGGGAATTCTGAAGTTGTGCTGAATGTGAAGTCAGTGGTATTGTTTCTTACCACAGTTGTGATAAGGGAGTCTGCTTATTTGAGCTATTGAAGCTGGTCCGGTGGTGTGTAATGTTTTGGCCTTGATCCAGGCAGTGAAGGTTAATTAATGGTATGCTTTTCTTTGCAATGAGAATACAAATTAGTTGTTTCTTTGTGCTGTGCAAAGGAGCAGAGAAACTGAACTTAACCTGTGAACTTAAATCTTTCCAGCTAGCCTGTTCCAAATCAGAATATCACTTGTGCATGTTACATGGTGCCTAAAATGCATCGTGTCGAGAGAAATCGTGCACTTCTACCCATTATTTTCTGGAGAAATGGGTCTCGTTGCTGAGATTCTGAGTGAATCTGCATGAAATTAACCTTAAAAACACTGAAGTCTGACATTCAGACTTGCCTTTTTTTTTTTTAACAAGCAGGATGTAAACGTTTTTCTGTACTTTTTACAAGTTTACAGTTACATAACCTGTACACGTTATTAACTTCACCTCTTTTTTCCCTTGCAACCGACTATACAGCGACCAGCTACATTTACCAAAGCCTGGGTGATGTGGAGTGGTACATAAAGATGAAGCTGTCGTCATGGCAACAGTGAGTGAAGTATCGAAAATCCCCAAGGAGAAGCCAGTGCTCTGAGAATAGGTCACTGGAATCGGGGGACTAACAGGTTGGCCGCTGGTGAACCATTTGGAAGAACTCCTGTATCTTGTTATAAGCTTTTTTCTTTGCTGTCCAGGTTTTTAGAATACTAGCTTAATCTTTTTTTTTTTTTTTTAATTGGAAGCTGACACTGAGGCCATAGGTAGTTTCTCACACACAACCCAGAACTGAAACCATCAGCCAGGCTGTACTTTGTTTTTTGCCTCTAGTCTAGTATTTCTGTTAACTGAAGCTCTTAACCTGCACATGAAGTTTGAGTAGTTTGAGTAGGCCTGCTTTCTACCTTCAACAGTTTTGGGTTCCTAGTTCCACTTTCTGGCTCTGTGTAATTGCAGTGTGAATTCACAGTAAAACGAATGTGCCTTAACGAGGCTTGGGAAGCCTTGCATTTGTAAAGCTCTCAATACAAATCATTGTGTAAGCAGTCCCTTACATGTACGTGTTTGCAGAACTGGGAATTGCATTGGAATTTTCTCTCTGTAAGACCTGTAGTCAACTGAGTTACGGCTAGGTGGTAATTCTAATACTGAGAAGTAAGACAAAGTGTTTTGGACAAGCATATTTCCTTCTGGATCTTTCACGAGCACATGTCATGTAGTACTGCATGTAAAAATGTTTGTGTGCATGGAGAAAAGCTCGTACCATGAAAATACTGCTGCTTTAAAAATTGTGTCCCAAAACGTGTTCCAAGTGAAGTGCAACTGTTGTTTAACATGTAGAATGTAGTTTGAAGTTGATCTTATTTATCTTAAATGTGCCTGAAAGCTGCAGAAAGTCTTTATGAGACTGAAACCAAATATGACTCCTGTCATGATGTAACCTCATGAATGTTGGTTTGAGATGCTCAGTCAGCTGTTCTGTTGCAGCAAACAGGTTCACGCAGTTGTGTTGGAAGTGGCCTGTATTAATAACACACTTGACTTAAGTGTTCTGACTGTTCCACAAACCCACAGTGCTTGTATTTACTATGTTGGAGACAAATACAGAACTTGCTCTCGTGTTGCCTGGAGTAAGAGAGATCTGGTCTTTGAAATGAGATGCTGATGTTACGCTGTACTTACTGGAAGTGCTTTTTGCATTGTCAACAAAAGTCCTGCAGGGCACTTTACCTCCAGAGTACATTCCAAAGTTGTGACATTTTAATACTACATCAGATGGAGCTGTAGCTGTGTTGAAAACTTGAGGTCCATTTGTCAGAGGAATTAAAAAATGTAATTTATTTATTGTTACAGTCACGTTACAGCTTGTGTTAATCTCTGAGGTTCTTACACAACCTTGAAATCCTGATGAAGTTTTGTGAATTAAATGTGGGGCCAACTTAGCAGAATGGGCCCTGTGTGCTCCATATTCTTAAACTCTTGCTTGGAGTTCTAGTGCTGATCTGTTAGAACAGCTTCAAAGTAATAATTTCTAATATTCCTTGGCTATGTAGGGCTTGAAGCTTATGTTTTATATAAAAGGTTGTAAGTTATTTTTCTACTCGGACCTAAAATTATTACTTCTTGGACTGAGAACTAAGTGCTGTAAATGTAGCAGCAAAATTGTGGGTTTTATTTTCTCAGTGGGAATGTTAAGAAGTTTTCCAAAGGGAAATCTCTGAAGTTTCCAACTTGTAAATAACTGTGCATACCAAAACTTTGTAGTTATGGCAAAAGTATTAAACTGGTAAAACTTCACTACAATGGGGAATCTGACTTCTGCCAGTAATACAGTGCGGTGAAGTCTTCTGCAGGTTTTGATTTTTGCATAAGTGGATAAAGGCTGCATTTGTCTTTATTTCTGGAAATACTGTCTGGATAAACTGGTGTTTTTCATGGCTCCCTTAAATCTGTAGATCTCTTGAGCTTGTGTGTCCTAAGTGACGAGAGTAACGTGGGATAACAAGAGTAAAGCACACTTTGTAGTGCTTTAATGTTGAGTCTCGTATGGATTTGCTGTGGGACACCTCCAGCCACAGTACGAGCTGATTGTGCTGATCCTGTGACCCTTAAGAGGGACAGTGAAAATTTAAAATGCCACAAGGCTCACAGTCTTTCCTGAAGCCTTTCTGGTTACCGTACTGTGTTTTCATAATGCTGATTTTCTTGCATGGCTTTCTGAGAATGCAAAGCCATGTGGAAGATAGTAATCCTGAGGCAGGTTGTTGGATGATCCCATGCAGTCATGTTGTCCTACTGTTGAGTCTTGGTTTTAAAACTGGAATTCATAGCTGCCCTAACTCTTCCGTCCATTAGAGGATTTGTCACCTCCGTTGAAGTGTTCTGCTAACAAGATAAGCTGAGCCTGGACACCTGAACTCAGTCTTGATACATTGCAGATCCTGTGAATGCCAGTGATCTCCAGCAATATTGGAAAAAATGTTATTGTAAAACCCAGTATAGTTTGTTGAAACCAATGGCAAGTGAACTGCTTTCACTGATTTAATGAACTTCAGCCTGGTTCTGGTCTTCCACTTCAGAGGGCTGTATTCAGCCTCTGTAGTGTTTTAAGTATTCAGATAAAATTGGAGCCTCTCTTTTGAAGTAGTTACCTTAAAGAAGTTTTAAACATTTTTCTACTTCATTGATGGAAGAATCCCCAGAGTACTCTGAGTTATATTTAGAGGAACTGAAATCACAAACTTTGTAAATTTGTCCTGATGAGCAAGAGTAAATCTTAACTAGAGAAGTTACCTTTGTGTAACATAGAAAACCTTGCCTTTTGGTTTTTTAGGAGCAGAAGTAGTAGGGCTTGTACTTGAGTTGTGTGTCCTTCCTGGCAGCAGGAAGCTGCAGGAGTTCATTTCACACCTTCTGGGAGCTGTTTCTCAGCCTTTTGGGAAGAGCAGGGGAAGCTTAAGCTTTAAGTCCATGGTCATGAAACATGCTGCTTTCATTAGTGAAGTGGGTGGCTTCTTGTATCCTTTGACCAGTGGTAAATAAGCATCCTTCCAGATGACTTCAGAGTTCTTGGCATAAGCTGTGGATTATTTAAGTTGGGAAGTCCTTCAGCTCGCCTTGTAATAAAATTCACCCTTTCTTCCTGGGGTCAGAACCTGGGTTTTCTGAGAATTTTTCTACTCTGCCCTGTTGGGTAAGAGAAGTGTGATTCGTATGTGGAACTTGTATGGAACAAAAAGAGAAGTTAGTAGTGGAAAACTGTGTCTGATAAAACAGAAGCCTTATTTTTAATCCACTTTGCATTACTTTCTATTTATTTTGAAAGTAATGTAAAATTTGTCACCAGTGCTTGGGGTGTGAACAGTGTGCTTTATTAGAGTGTAACTAGTTGCAAAACCATTCCTCTGCATTGGAAAGCATGTGGAATATGTGAGGCTTGTTACAAGTAGGGGAAAAAGCTGGTCTGTCTTTAAGAGGAAGTGAATTTAAAAACGCACAATATGTAATGTTGAAAAGTCCACTCTAAGCACGGACAAAGAAAATACTACAAAATGGAGTGCATAAAGCATGCAGCAAGTTACTGTAGTTCAATTTTTAAAGATGTTTTGGATAGTTCAGGTGTTGATTTGGGGAATCTTTGTGAAAGAAAGTCTTGTTTTTCAAATGCAAATTCCAAAATAGCAGAAGTGACAGGGTGCCCACTGAGTTCAGTGCTGCGTTCAGAATCACAAGTAGATCTGCCACCACTTCTACTGGGCTTCTCCTGTACCATGGTAGCAGGACTGTCTTGTTCTCTCAAGATCTGAATGATCTTGTCTTCCAGTGCTTAAGAAACCACAATTTATAAAGCACGAGCTCGCTGCTTCAGTAGCAGTTTACAAATGTTCTAGCTTACCTCTGCTTTGAGGCCCTCCCTAGGAAAGGTAAGATCACCCTTCTTCCCCCACTTCTGCCAAGGAGTTCCTTAAGATCTTCAATGTAAAGTTGATTTTTGTTCCCGCAGCTGGACCACTGTAGTTTGCATACACAGTAGCTCAAGATTTTTTTTTTATCTTGGCCATCTAATCTGTAGCTAGTCAAAAGCAGAAACTAAACTAGTTTATCTAAACTTGGACAGCACAAGATTAATGCTTAAACTTGCTTGCAGGAGTTGAAAACCGGTTTCTGTTGCCATTAGTTGGTTGGAAGGGAAAACAGAGATGCTGCTATTTTTGGATATGCAAAACAGTTTTGATTTTATTTCTTGCAAACTATAGGACTCCAAGCCCCCTGATACTTGATCAGAACTACATAAACACCAAAAATCAAGTAATAAAAGCAGAAAGGAGGGTACTGAAGGAGTTGGGATTTTGTGTTCATGTCAAGCATCCACATAAGGTGAGTTCTTGAAAATAGTCTAACTATATCTGTTATTCTGCCTTGATGACCCTGCTGTGAGCTGTGGGACAAGAAACACAGGTGTAAAATGACCTGATTTCTTCTCTTTATTCTTTAGTAGCCATGATGAATGCTTTTGCCAGAGTTCTCAGGCACACAGTCATACTGACTTTGGGAGAAATTGCTTTCTTGGAAATGTGAAAGATGGCTGGTTTTGAAAATAATAGAAAAGTAGTAGATAAAGAATTGTCTGGAGGTGATGGGATGACATGAGCTTACAGCATATGCTTGGGAAAGGAGGAGGGAGCATTGTTTTGCCACACTGCTGGGTTATACATAGTTAGTTCCTCCCTGTTGCTTTACGTGTTAAAACAGTCTTCTTTTTTTTTTTTCCTCCTCCTTTTTTTTCCTCAGATTATTGTTATGTATTTACAAGTCTTAGAATGCGAACGTAACCAAACCCTGGTTCAGACAGCCTGGTAAGTTGCTATTTTTCCATTCTTTTCCTAGCCAGGAAAATAGTAGCAGAAATAACAAGCCTGATGATCCATTTACAAAGCAATGAGATGTAAGTTATTACACAAATACATGCTTTTAATACCTTGCAGTGCTTGTTTCTGCTTACTATTTTCATGGCTTGATTCCAGTATAGTAATGGAGAACTCAATTTAACTTTGTTCTTTTTTCTACTCTTTAATTAAAGGGTAGTCCATGATGGTAAGTCATAGAGCTCTGCCCTCTGCACCTCAGCCCATGACCTGGGGATGGCCGGTTTGGCTGCCCTTCTCTCCAGCCAACCCAGTGCAAGCTCTCATCCGAGATTCACTGAAGTGGTCCATATCCATCGGGCAGCATCTTCTAGTTCTGTCTGGGTGTCAAAGGATTTGTATATTTGCTTTTAGAAGTAACTGTTAAAATGTTTCTAAATGTCTTTGTTGCCTAGCTACTGTATACTGTAGTGTATTGAAAGGACACACGAGGTAGACTTTTTGCCCATGTTTATTTAGTTCATTGAGCATTTGGCTAAACTTGAGTTTAAAGAATGACAGTGCATGCAGCATGTTCACTTAGAAGCCATACTGGGCATGGTTTTCTGTAGACTCAATACTTCCTGACTGCTGTTTATTTCTTTCCTGTAGCTCAGTAACTTAGAAATGGATGGAGGTCTCTGCTGTTTAATCGTACCTCTAGGCATGTATTGCTTAGCAGTGCCACTGCAGTGGGACACGAGTAGCTTAGGTGGAGTGGGAGACCCATTACTAACTTGCAGGTCTTTTTCCAACACTCAGTGAGCAGCAAATTGGAGGCTTCTCTCTGGATGAAGCTGATGTGACTCAAGGCACACATAGGATTTAAATGCAATGTCTCATGAACTTGATAGGTTGCATCTAGCCTCTGCAAAATGGTAGGTTAAAACTATACCATGCTTTCATGCTTGCGTTGAAGTTTTAAGTGTATTGATGTTTAAATGCAAAACCATTGGTGTTTAAAGCAAACAACTGGACAGATGAAAAGTACTTGTTAGATTGTTAACTCAGTGGACACTTCATGGGATAACTTGAGGCTCCTACTAGAAAGTAGCCGTTTCCAACTGTTACACAGTGGCAGTGGTGCAGTCTTGTGACAGAAGTCACAAATGTAAACACCCACTTTTGAAAGAAACCTAATGTTTCATATAATAACAGAAAAAATAATAAAGTCAATTGAGTCTCCAGTATTGTTATTCTCTAAATAAAAAGATGTGACCTGGATAGCCAACCTTTCCTAATTTTTTTTTATTTAGGAATTACATGAATGACAGCCTCCGGACAAACGTCTTTGTTCGCTTTCAGCCAGAGACCATAGCATGTGCTTGCATTTATCTTGCTGCTAGAGCTCTGCAGGTGAGTGTTTGTCTTTGGTTAGCATTGCCTTCTCTTGCTAGTCATTTGGTTTTAGGAAAACCAGTGAAAATACTCAAAACAAAAGCCTGCTCTGTAATTTCTCTTGTTAAGCTTTTGACGGGTTTATTTTCAGATCCCGCTACCTACCCGTCCTCACTGGTTCTTGCTCTTTGGCACCACGGAAGAGGAGATTCAGGAGATATGTTTAACGACTCTCAAGCTCTATACAAGAAAGAAGGTGAGTTTGAGGGTTTGTTTTTGCTATTCAGTGCAGCTTGAGCTCTCTCTTGGGTGTCACAAGTGTGTTTGGGAACACCTGCATGCAGATCTGCCAATTGGGAAGGCTCTGCTGTGTGCCTGTTCCTCTAAGGGGAGTGTGAACAGATTCCAGAAGTTAGTCACAGTACTGGACAGATGATTGAAAGATAATTAAGTATTCTTCAGAAATGAGATGAAAATACGAATTGCATTAGTTCTGCTTCTTACCACATTGTTACTTTACAGCCCAATTACGAATTCCTGGATAAAGAAGTAGAAAAGAGGAAAATGGCACTACAGGAAGCTAAACTGAAGGCAAAAGGTTTAAATCCAGATGGAACTCCAGCACTCTCAACACTGGGTGGCTTTTCTCCTGCATCCAAACCATGTAAGTTTGTTTTTCTGAACAGAAACTTGCATAATACTGTTTGATAAGTCTTCTAAAACCACGTCCCAAGGTGTTAAAAAAAAAAGTAGGTTTGCTTCTTGAGCTGTTAAACAAGTCAGGCTTTCTCACAGAATTAAGAAACATGGCAAATACTGTGTTTAAACACAAATGTTAAAACCAGTTTCAATATAATGAAGTGGCAGATTAGAGGAAACAGGATGCCTTACTCCATACTTCCACAGATGGAAGAGTGGTGTGTTAGTGACACGTGCCCCTGAGGTGATGGTACTGAGATGTCTGACCTGGAGGGTGCTGCGTCTTGCTGTGGGTGGAGAGTCTGGGTGTAACCTGCTGGGGTAGGGCTGTGGCAGGAGCCTTCACAGTTCCCTGTGCAGCAGCTGTCTCTGAAAATGCCTTTCTCTGCTTTTTCACGTGTACTTAACCAACTGTTCAGGGGTGGTGAAGGAAGGCAGCTTGTGGTCAGGCAGCGAAGAAGGGAAGTCCCAGTTCTGTCTTGGCATCAGAGGGAATAAATTGATATTGTGTATCTTGAATCAGCTAGTACATGTCTGAGCTGCAGTGATACAAAGAACAGACAGTTTTGTGTTAGTGCTTTTACCTCCTGGTGCTGCCATGGAGCTGTAAGCTACCAACGACATGCAAAAAGGCTGTCCGAGCATTGCTCCAGTGATTGTGGGTAAAGCAGAAGCAATAGGCCCTTATTTGTCACACAGCTTCTTCAGGAATTCAGGAATATATTCTAAGAAAGCAGTGTTTGTAGCAGTTTACTCTCCCGAAGAACAGTGCGTGTGCGTTTCCAGAGGTTTTTCAGCTGGCATAAGTCACAGTGCAGCACTTGGCTGTCAGCAGGCCAGGCAGAAATGGATCAGACTCCTGCGTGGTAGCTCTGCCATGAGAAGTTGAACCCATCTCTGGGCTGTATCAGCTGTCTGCAGAGACTTCTCAAGTAAATAAATGTTTGTTGTTCATTATATTTGTACCACTGATACAAATACGAAATCTGTAATTTAGCTGTTATGAGTTCTTCCTAGAAATTAGCTGTCAAGATAACAATTTCTCTGTTAGTGGGCCATAAGGACAGCTTTTATTTTGTACCACTTGGGCCCTGGGTGGAGGAGATGGATCTCAAATGAGCCTGGCTGCTTGGCTTGAAGGTCACAGTGTTCTTCTCCCCCCCACCAGCAGTTGGCTTTAAAGTACAATACGTCTCCCAACAGGCATCTCACTCCCATGCTTGAGGAGTGTGCTATAAATGGCAAGATGACATGAAACTGCAGGTATCGAGTTCATATCTGCATGCTGTGCAGATACTGGTAAAAGGTATAGAAAGGATACAACGTGTTTATGACAAAGTCTTATGAATTAAATACCTAATTTTGAATTTCAATTTAATTCTTAGCTTCCCCGAGAGAAGTAAAACCTGAAGAGAAGTCTCCAGTGTCCCTGAATGCCAAAACAGTTAAAAAAGAGCCAGAAGAGAGGCAGCAAGCTGCCAAGAGCCCTTACAACGGGTAGGTAAAGACCTCTTCGGGTGAAGGCTTCCACAAAAATGGATTCTTAACTGAAGCACCTTGAGCTACTTTTGAGTTACTTTGTAGAAGTACCAGGTATCTCAGAAGTGTAACCCTATTTTTTTCTTTCCCCACAAGCATGAGGAAGGAAAGCAAGAGAAGCAGAAGCAGTAGAAGTGCCAGTCGGTCCAGGTCAAGGACAAAGTCCCGGTCCCGGTCCCACAGCCCCAGGAGGCAGTAAGTAGGGGCTCTTTGGTTGGTTGGGGGAGGGGGGGGGGTGTGGGAAAGGGGCATGTTTTTCAGGGAGGTTGTCTTTTTTGTCAGAATTAGTTCCCTGGGATACTTCAGCAGTGCTTTTCATTTCTTAGAAGTAGGGTAGCTTGTAGGTGCTTAGCAACAAGCATCTACCTGCTGGCCAGGAGAGGTAGAGAGTCTTGAGCCTGGCTTAGGCTCTCAGTTCTTGACGTGAACTGGTTCTGTGGCCACTAATAGTTCAGGCTGTGAAAACTTTGCTGTAAAATGGCAGCTTTAGCCCATCCTTAACTGCAGATGTACACAAGGAGTCTCTGATGGTGTGTAAGGCAGTCTTACCCTGTGCTGTGATCTCTGCAACGAATCCAGCACAAATGAGAGCAGTCTGACAGAGCTCAGTCCCCTTTGAAGTGGTGAGAAGGGCCTCAGGAGCCAGTTTGGTGTTGCAGTGTTGTACCCAACACATGTGAGGATGTGTCTTCAGTTGGTGATGCATTGTGGGCTGTCTGGCTCCTCAGTGCTCTGCCTCCCCTCTGTCTGGGGAAGGGGCAGCTGTGCAGGGTGGTGCAGTGACAGCTGCTGGCATTAGATACGTAGGTTTGAATGAATCTTCAGCCTGATGTCTTAAGTTGGGGGCAGCCAACATGGGTCTCAGTGAAGTGTTCCCTAAAGCATGACTGACACTCAGATCACTGAGGGAAAAGGGCAGTAACCAATTTGCAGCCTGGTGTTGAGGATTCTTGACAAGGTTGAATGATGAGGAAAGGTGCTGCCTGCTGGGGTTGGGTATGGGCTGGGCTTTTGGGTCTCAGAGGAGTTCAGGAGTGTTCTGGGAGAGTCACTGTCATCCATCAGCTGTCCTTCTGGGAGAAGCAGTCTGGTTTCTTCCAGTCACGGGGAAGTTCCTAGGCATTTTTACATGTGAAAAGGCATGTTCTAACTCGGAACACTTCTCTGCAAGCTACAATAATAGGCGGAGCCTGTCTGGGACCTACAGCTCGAGGTCGAGGAGCAGGTCCCGCAGCCACAGCGGCAGCCCCCGCCGGCACCACAACCCCCGCTCCCC